AAATTACAAATTACTTGAATTTGTTTAACAAAATTAAATCAGGTTTGAAAATAATTTTGAAAAATATATTCATTGTCATAATAATCTCTAAACGATTGCTTTTTTCTCGAACATTTACAATGAAAATTTTATATTTTAACTGAGGGAATTTAAAATGCGACTTTCATTAATTTACTGATCTGGTCATCACTTTTGTAGCTATCTGTATTTTATAGCTGGAAATAAAGTCAGACAAATTATTCAAACAATGATTTTATCATAAAATAAGAAAATCATAAATACAGAAATTGAACATACGTCATGTATATATTCAAAATATTGCAGCTTTCAACAAGTTAACACTTACACTACAATTTGAAAATAAAATATCCTTTTATGAAGCTTGCAAATTATAAAATTAAAACGGATATGTTACCAATTCGACTTATATAATATTAATCTAAATAAGGACGCGGAGACCAATCTGGATTTGATATTCTTCTTCGTACTAAATTAGAAGGTCGAAATGTAGCTATATCTTGTCGCAGCATATATTCTCGTACTTTCCATCTTAATGACAATCGTTTTTTTTCTCCTGGAGGAGGATTCTTTGCCCAACCTTTGTTGTAAATCTCATACTTTTTGACAGGATCATGCCGAAATAATGTTCTACCCGGAACTGCACGTAAAACAGGTCTTACAGCTGGAAATACTTCAGTGAAAAACTATAAAATATTTTTAGTATAATCAACATTGAATATACAAAAGCTATTAATCAAAATACCAACCAGGATCTACGGCAACTAAAGTACGATCGCTTTCACTCCCATCACTTTCGTTCATTAAATCAGCTAAAATTAAGCGTAATTATTTTTCTCTGTACTTGAAATTTTACATCTTAATAAATGCCAAGAAAATTCAATTTTTCTCTTTATATTTCAAGAACAAAATTAATTTTATCGAGTTTTGGAGGGAAATCATGCACTTATTAAATTAATAATTCTTAAAGTAAGGAAGAACCATGCTCAGTATCATTTCTTGCATGAGGAACTTCAAAAGCTTGCTCAACATTCCCATCGGATGATGATGACCACTTACGAACTCGTTCCAAATCACGCTCAAAACGATCATTCTGAAAATATGTTAAAAATGAATACCAATACTTAAAGAATTTTAAATATCTAAAACCTATCAAAAAATAAATAAATAAATATAAATATATATATATGTATATACCAAAGCCTGGATAAAACTATTGTCTTCAGTAATCTTTTGAAGACAACGAAAACCTTTATCCAAAATATCAGTTATTTCATAACGATCAAATCTTTTGCCAATCTGCAACTAAAATTTTTACTCATTACAATTACGAAAAATTTTCTGCCTGTTAAAATTTTGAAATTTTTGAGGCAATTTAGACAAAATGATTTGTTTTCAAATATAAATACATATTTAAATACCAAAAACTGTTGCGACTACTGCTACGAAATTTACACATCAATTGATATAAATTGTTGAGATGTTTGTAGAACAAACAAAAAAAAAAGCTATTCTCAAACATTGGATGGTCTGCTTTGTATATTTCCAACATTTTTAGATTCATAATTGCTACGAGATGGAGAAAAACAATGTCCTGTCCCATGAAAATGATCATCTTCACCACGACTCATGTGCAGCAAATCTAAAACAATTGTAAATTTCATTTTACTTTGTTTTCAATGTCTGCAGTACTGTGTAAATTAGCTGAGATAAAGAGTTATTAATTCATATACCGTAGTCAACACAAATTATTCAGAACAGAATAATAATCCTGCTTTGAAAATATGAACAAGAATTTTACTACCAAGGAGATGCTGTAAAAATCTAAATTCTACCAGCGTGGGACAGATCTCCAACATTGTTTGCTAAAGAATTAAACGAAATATCCGAGTCTAATAAAGGTCGATGCGTCTCATCTTCCTTTTCCAATTCATCCAGTAGTCGATCCAACTCTCCAATTTACGTTAAAAATAAAAACTCTTGTAATAGTAATATCAATATTAATATTAATTCTTCCGCCTTAGCTATACCAAGAACATAATACTAAGCTGATTGAAAAGTAAATGTTATCTTCACACTCTGCTTTGGGAGAAATTAATACTTATTGTTCATTTCTTAAGCATTATTGACATAAGTATGACAAATACACATTTACTAACTATCCAGTTATGGGTACTTACCTTCTTTGAAAAATTTAAGTTCATCAGACGAAAGGTCATAACCCATATCATTTACTATCTCCAACAATTCCTGTTCTGTGAACGATCCCATGCGAAACAAACCTTTTCAAGACCCCTTGAAACTATAAATATCATAAATCCTCTTTACGAAATTTACTCAACTAGCATAAATATGTATACTTTACACCACTCTCATTCAAGAATTTCCAATTAAATCTCTAATTTATCAAAACACAACTTCGTACACAGCAATTTAACGTGCACAATTATATGTAATTCTCTGTACTCTAACTGCTGAAAAATTAAGCAAAAAACAATTAAAATTTTACGCAACATATATTTCCAAATGCAAAAGATGAATCCAGTCAAAATTTCTACGAGTTCATTTTTACTGATAGCACCCAAAAGATCTAATTTCAAATTTTATTCATCATATAGCTGATAATTGAAAGTTGCTCTCTTCAACTTCAAAGTTTTTTAGAAGTAATTTAAAAAAAAATGTATGACGTGAGCACGAAATAAAATGACCAATAATAACGGAAAACTTTCAGTCTTCTACATGTTTTCAATGACGAAAAATTATAAAACTTTTGGCTTACTATGAATATCAGCAAACAACATCAAATTTCTTACACCACGTAAAAATGAGCTGACCTATATTTGGGATACAACAGCAGATAAAATAAACGACATGACACAATCAAAAATAATAATATCCAACATTCAAATAATGATTAGTATGAAACATACTTAAAATGCAAATTATTTGGCAAACAAAAATAAGCAGATCATTACAGCGGCTGAATGCTGCTTACGAACCTTTGTAACTCAGCGTTTGGTGTAAGCACAGAATCCATTTCCATTTCCTCAACTGATACTTCTTCTTTTACATTCATACCATTTCCTCTTGACTTGTATCTTACTCTTATTTTCACGCTAGCATTATCATCAATTTCATACGAAATTAGTGCGCATCCAACAACTTGGCCACCATTTAATTTGCCAGTCAAATACCAGATATTTTTCCGGATGGCTGCTGGTCCAATTGTGTTTCCATGACAATAATATTGCCGATGTAAGATATAATCATAGTCCTGCAGCAAATGACAAATTTGTCCAAACTGCTGAATACGACCCGTAATCTTGCCATCTTTCACAAAATACTTCCTAGTTTTCATGTGTGCTGCAAATCTTGACGTCCAATAGCCTAAAATAACATATTGCTAAATATATATAATAGTAGACTTTATCGCTTTTAAAATCATTTGTTTTTAAAACTGAAAAAATCTTATTAAGAGATCAACTAGCTTTTCTTAAAGTAACACGTCACTGCAAAAAAAAACAAGGCAAACAAACAAATTAGTCATTAAAAAAAGGACCAGAATTTCAAAAGCATATCGTAAACAATATGAGGAATCAACAAAAAAAGAAGTAAAAAATTCTTTTTTTATTTACTATAATGAAGTTGCACAGTGAAGAATTTAATTAAAAGCAAAAATCCAAAACTATAAAAGAGAGGATGGAAGTTTTACAGAACAGTACAATTCATAGTTGTTTACCTAAATTATCAGATGTGAGATCCCTCAATTTCACAGCCTTCATATCAACCAGGAACGATATTTTACCTCCTTCCTTTCCAAGAAATATTTTGGGTACTTTCTGACATACGAATGCACTACTAAAAACGATTGTAATTAGATGACCATGAAATTGCATAAAAAATAAAAATTGAAGATATTACTTGAACAAATAAACAATATTAGAATGACAAAATAAATAAACTCATATTTAAAAAGTAAAAATAGTTTCACAGAAATAAAAAGTTTACTTTTCTGGTTCCAACAAAGTTGATATTGGTATAAGACAAACAGTATTATAATAAATAAAACTGAAAGCTGCACAGTCACTAGTTGATGCTTGTCCTCTGGGCTCTCTCGGTTCTCTGAAAAAAAATTTTTCAGAAATTTGAGAACTTGCGCACAACACAAAATGACTAGCGATTTAAATTTTATATCAGTTTCAAATAAAATTTCGATAAGTCAAAACTTTCCTCCCATGCAATGCAAAAAAACATAAAAACAACTCATATGTCAAATATAAAAAATATTAGTCCTATGCATAGTTTGAAATTTATTTTATGAGACATGACTACTCGAAAATGACGCAACAAACCTAATGTATTCTCGATGAATTTTAGTGCTATATTTATTTCGGTTTTGTGCTCTTGAGCGATTACCTGACAAAGAAGATTCTCCTGATTTGGGAGTTATTTCTTCCTGAAAAACCATGCTTGAGGACAAAATTTTTTAATCTCAATATACCTAAAATTAATTAACAGCCTTATTCGATCATAAAATCATAAAACTAGTTAACTACTGTATATTTTACCAGTGTTGGAAAAATAAGAAAAAATAATTATGATGTAATGGTGTTTACTTCGTTTTTTCAAATGCTACTATCTCTATTTTTTCTCCTTTAGACTAGTCAGATTTCGAATTATTTGATTTGTAATACAAAAAAATGGAATGAACATCAGAAAACTCCAAAACTAAAAGCTACCGAGAAATTAATGAATGAAAACAAAATTATATTTTACGAAATATTTTATGAATAGTAGATCTTATTTAAGAGTAGATGATATTGCAAAAACTGATGATATAAATGATATTTACCTGAGAAGTAGTACAAGGCGCGTTTGTATACAGAGCAGAACTAACAGATGGAAACTGCGGTACTGTCGAAAAACAAGCTCGATTTCGAAGATCACGAAGTTCATTGCAAAGCGGTGTGATCATCTCAGTCATTACGTTTCGAACTTCATTTACCACTTCACGTACAACTTCTTTCACGACTGGTACCATTTGAACCCGTATTTCAGCCGCAACAGCTGATTTGAATTCATCACCTTGACTGATAGATAGCGCCACATTCTGGCCATTTATTAAGTGTGGGCTTCGTTGATGAATTTGAAAACCGAAATTTGCCATCAAATAATCTACAATAAAGTGATTTCTAATTTTTCTCAGACAATGTTTTGTATTTAATGATTTTATTTTTATTTATACAAATAAAATAATAAACAACAAACTGCAAAGTTCAATAACACAAAACGCTGTGAAAGTACTAATTTGACAACTCATATTTTATACTCGACATCATTTGAGTTACTTCAGAGCGAACTTGAAAATTATTGATATTTTCAAAACTTCATTACGAATAATTTTAGGATAAAAAACTTCCCAGCACTTGAAGATTTCTTTAAAATAACCATATTCTAGCGAAATTAGAAAGTATAATAGAACTGAAACAAATTCTATCGTGATACCTACACATATGTGCAACTGATTTACCTTAAGTACCACACGCGTGTAGGTTATGGTAGCTAGACAAGTATTTCTTCAATCACCACACGCGAATTTGTGAAAGTATACCTATAGAAATTATAAGAACATGACATCAATTGGAAGATCTTAAAGTATCATAGATAACTGACAAACTACATATATGTAATACTACGATCCGTATATCCATATATGTGAAAACGTGTGCACACGCACACGCAAATGCCTGCTTATCAGATGTATAGAGTAGAATACGCTTGCTGAAACGTAAAAAAAATACAGAAACAAACTCAAGCACAAACCTACACGCAACGACGCATACTTTTGAATGCAAATACAATTACATCTATAAAAAACAAAAGTATGTGTGTGCACACAATATGAATGCACTTACATTATATATGTCTGCATGATTGTGCACACAGATATACATTTTCAAATCCGTAATCAAACAATCATTACGCAACAATAGGCAAGTACATGTTCATAATGTGAGTGTACCTACACGTAGTCACAGACCATAATACCACACACGCATATTTATCACTATAAGTAAGCCCTTTATTGCTAGTGAAAATCAATACGAAGAGAGTGAGAGAAAAAATATGGCAGCATTAAGTAGAGGATGAAAGAAAGAGCAGGCATGCAGAATAAACATCTGCAAATAGTGAAATGATTAATATGGATAGCACTTTGATAATAGTGACCTCAAAATACTCAACCCCAATAATTAATCATATCATAACAATATTTTTAATTACTTTATTATAGTATATATTTCACTATTCAATGTACAATGAATACATAGTGAAGATAATAAGAAGCACTTTTCAAATAACAGCTTTAAATATCCAAAACTGATGTATACCAGAAACACCTTCATCCATTAACAGTATTACACGCAAAATGATATAACGCTTCCGATTCATTTTAATCAAACCAATTACCGATGGTAACAACAGTGGTTACATGCTAATATGCTACTTCTCAAATTATGATGGGGTAATAATAACGTGACACCAAATAGATCATAAGCAATAGATTATATTTATAATTCATACGCTTTTCTGAAAGTAAAAAATGGAAAAAATTGACTTAGAAAAGAAAGGCAATAATTGAGAAAAAATTATAACCGGAACTAATTGAACTAATTATTTGCTGCAAAATGAATAACAGAACTGAAAAAAATGCAAAGCAAAAATTTTTTTAATAATTTAAATTTCGTTTCATTTCTTAGCAAGAAATATTAGAGAAATACATTGACAAACCATATACAGGAATACGATAAACTACAGAAATATGACACTTTAGTACAGACCAACCAACCACTCGACATACTACTTTATATGACCAGAATTAATTGATATTGATATGCTATTTCATATGATCAATTATTTTGATCATATAAAATAGCATATCAATTTTCTTTCATGGAAACAACTTCTGATAACGTATTTTTAAATTTTAGCTCAAGAAATTAATAAATGAAGATATCTTACTTCAAATAATCATCATAAACAATTTCTTCAAGTACAGATTTACTATGTAAATCTAAAGGAGCGATATCAAAAAATATCATTAGATGATCACCGCGTCTTTGTGTGTGTAATGCTGATAAAATCGTCTCATTACCAAATATTTTATTTACACTTCGACCACCAACCCGACTCTAAAAAATGTCATTAAAAATTTTTGGTACATATATTTTAAGAGTATGCATAAATTATAACTTTCAATCTTCCAAAAACACTTTTTTCTTTAATGCATAGGCAAAGCCTGATGAACATTTTTTAACAAATCAAATAGCTTATAAGTTTGATTGAAAGTAAATAGCATGTTTTGAAAAACGACTTAACTTAAAAAACGTAAGTGACTAGATTAAAAATAATCTTACATAAACATAAAAATGTTCAGGACGATACATTGTACATGCTGAGTACTGTTGTACTGGTGAAGAGGTTATGCTATTTTCGATAGAAAAATCTTTCGATCCTTCAGAAAGATTTTTCTGCTGCCCTTCTCGATGTTCTGCGTTGCAAATCTGATATAAGAATTCTCCAAGATGTTCCACTGCAGTAAAATAATCATACGTTTTATTAATAACTGATCACCTTAATTACTGCAATGAAAATGCTAAAAAAGCGATAAAAAAATAAGTTTCAGCATGAGGACTAATAAGTCTTTCACTATTTTTGAAATAGAATGACGCTTACAAACAATCATTGCTTTTAATCAGACATACTGGTAGTATCCTCTCTTGTTCGAATATAACGTCGATTTAACAACGGCGGTGCGACATTTGGACGTTTAAATAACGATTTTGCTGGCAATAATTCCGCTTCGATTTCAATAAACTCTCCATCTGTACGCAAAACAGCGAAATCTATATCTTCATCGAGCTGAAAGATTACTGCTAAAAAATTAAGGATTCTTACACAGCCACTCAAAACTTTATTACAACATCAGCATCAAATTATTAACCAAAAAAAATATACATGAAATCAATGAATATAAAAAATCATTTAATTAAAGGGTTTATCTCAACAACAAATGCAAAACCTACTCGTCTTTCCAGCTGCTCGTTCATGCCTTCATCAGGAATTAGTGGTGATGAGGGATTTTCTGCGAGCCATTTATGCATGCGATCTTTAAGAGTACATGCATTCAGCGGTGGCACAACAGGATGACTCTCCTAGATGCAATGTTTACAGAAAAATTGAAAGCAATTTCATTTTACAGTGCATTCCATCAAAAATACTTACTGAATTTGCAATAGAACTTGGATGATTTACAGGCGAAGTATTACTCGAAGAGTCAGTTGTATCCGAAGTGTCAGAAGTATCAGTAGTCGAAGACAGGGAATCCAAATCTAATAACTTTATAGTTAAAATCAAACTACAATTCACTTTGACCAAAAGAATTTTTCCATCACAAAGTGAAAAATAAACCTGTACTACTGCTTGAAATATCAAGATGTGAACATGATCGAGAATTAGTTACGCCATTAACTCCTAGAAATAACGAAATCATTGATAGAAGAATCAATGTCGAGTAGTAATTTGTATCTTTGCGAAAATATCGACTTAATCAAATTAAATGCGTACCACTGCTATGAATGTTAATACCGCTACCACATATTTGACCTCCAGTTACCAATTCATCATGTCTAAAAGAGATTTTCAGATATAATTGCAAAAGAAATTTATCATAATAAAAAAACACAAACAGAAACATTAGCTTTCTTTTTAAGAATTGTATTTCAGAAAAGATAAGTTTATAAAGCACAAAAAATAATGATAGTACAAGGTAGCAAATATGACTGCACCTTGCATGCAAATCATTCTCATCACCTTCAGCACTACCTTCTTGCGAATTACTATCTGGAGAATTATTATACGAGCGATCATGAACATCGCTACGAGGTCGACGTTTTCTTTCTGCAATGAAATCATTAAACTCTGATATTAATTAGCCATAACAAGACAAAACGAACTTTCATAGTCATAGGATCCTTGAACACGCTGACGACGATTAGCAGCTTGAGCTTTCATTCCTGCTTCTATACTTTTCTGCAATGCCTCTACATTACTTTGCTGATGGAACATATCCATTGCTTTTTGCTGCATCTGCTCATAAATTTGTCGATCAGGCCAAATCTTCAAAAATTATTTAGTTTGAATAACTCACAGAATATGAAGTAATGAAATATTACAGAAAAAAAAGTAATGAGCATGAGTAACTCAAAAACAAACTTTATTAATTAAAGCGTCAAAATTAGAATCAGGGCGAAGTGACCGTTTCGATACTAATTTTTTTCGACATGTAGGACATTCCTTGTTACCTCGAAGCAATGCTGTTGTAATACATTCACTACAAAATCGATGCAAACATTCCTATAAGACATCTATCTCAAAATCAACTTGCATTTTCGCATACTTTGATAAACTCAAATTTGAAAAATCAAAAAAAGGATACAACGTGCTTCAAATGCAATCAGATTCGAAAATGAAAAGAAATTACTATCAATTTCCGAAAATCAAAACAAATGACATATTAAAGATACTTTTGTGGTCATTGTTGTTGTCAACAGATCTAAACATATTGGACAACAAAGCTCCGATGAAAGCATTCGTGTACTGATCCGTATTTCTGTTGCATCCGAAATTGCTTTATGTGGACGTCGATGCTGTACAGAAATAATATATGCTATCATTAAATGGATATAAAAAATTTTCAAAACGAAAATTTCATTTATCTATAATGTTTCAGGTGTCAGATTCTTCTCTTAAGTTTGTTGTTTTGTGTTTATAATCTCCACCAATTTTTATAAAAAAATGGCACGAGATAACAAAGTAATTTTAACATTTCTCAAGATAAAACTGACATAAATTTGAGTATTTTTGCTTACTTTGGGAAAAAATTAACTGTTTAACTGAATAAGACACAAATTCCAAAAAAATTAAAAACTATACCCTGTCATATTCGGTAAGTTCGAGAGTTTTTCCACCGGTTATTGTATCTGGTGCACTACTGTTATTCATATTTTTTAGAAACGAAGTATGATATAGGTTTTGCTCTTAATATTGTACCCTGAAACTCGGTATCACACGGTACAAGTATAAATGAAAATAACTCACGGAACGTTACTATTACATACTTTAGTGTTACTTTCCGGTAATTTAATTGACTATTAAATTTGATTAACTATTAAACTACCGGAAAGTAACACGGTTAAGTTACAATTGATAGGGATAATGAGACGTGCATTACACAACATCATGCATTAAACTGAGAATTGAAAAGATGTGTTCACGGTTCATGGTACCGAACTTTTTCTAATCATTTTTCATAAAAGTCTTCAGAATTGAGTTTGGCGTGAATCCCGTAAACAAATGCAACACAGGAGGCATCGTCTTAGTGCCTACTGCAAACGCCATGAATCGTCCAAATCTGGAAACAAAATTTTTTTCCGTGCATACACCAAATAAGGATGCCTCGCTTCCACGGCCAGACTCCAGATGGATCGTCCCACATCACTAAGAAAATAGAAAAATCACTGGATAGCTGACAGATAATCGAACCCCAACATCTTGCAAAGACGGATTTTCCTAATCTTCAACCCGCAATAAACGCACCTCAGTTAAGTCTCATTGGTTACGTCATCGTCACTGCGCAAAGCTTGGCGATAACATGACCAATGAGGTATAACCGATGTGATAGTTATTTTCAGCTCACTTCAAACTAACCAAATCAACAATTCACGGAACTGACTTAAGCCAGAAACCCTCAGATTCTGCGTACTACATGTATTCCAAGCAAACTCGTCCTATACGCAGAGAGTGGGACAGTGGCCGTTTCATTGGTTGAATCATTGTGAAATGGTTCACAATTATGTTTCTGACCTTCAGGTTTGCATTCTGATATGGTTACTCCAGGAATTTATGTGTTTGTATGTAAAAATATGAATAGTGTTTGCTATGTTTCACTTTCTTCTTCGTAGACGTGTTAATGTGGTAAGCTTAGTTGTCATGCGCGTGGCACTAACTACTAGACGTGAGTAATGGGAAAAATCTGATAAGCACTGCGTTAGTAGGGGTATCAGTACAAGAACACATATGTTCACAAATATGGCTTTTTATTTGAATGTAAGTCACGAATGTTTCACTTGGGACGAGTCACATTCACGTTAGTTGCGCACTGCCGTATGTTTCTTGCCAATACGCATGAATGACAAGTATAATTTCAGATGCACTTTTTGAGGACACATAACTGTTTTGCTACTATGTTTTTCTGAGAATTTCGCTATTGTTGAGATTTTTCGAAGTAGTAGTTTTCGTATGCTCAACATATTACTCTCTATTTCATGCATTAAATACAATGTAATTACGTCAAACGACAAGAAACTAAGAAGTGACATTTGACTAATTACATGTTGTATATTTGATCCACCTTGTTTATAACAAAAAATTGTCTTAAAAAAACCATGTATTTGAAAGAGTAAGATTTGTATCATTTAAAAGTCAACTTGAAAATTTTTGAAGCAAAATATATGGGTCTACTAATTCTTAGTCAAAAATTTTAAAGAGTAGGTGAATTCTGGGGCTGTATGATAAGTTACTCTCTAAGATTAATTGTATCTGATGAATCCTTTTAAAATTATGAAAAAGATAGGTAAATTCTTTAAAGATTTTAGTAATATTGATGAATTTGGTGAAAAATATATACACTTATAGTACGTATCATTCATTTCCATCACGTTGGTTGTAAGCTTAATTATAAAAAATATGTAACACAAAGTCTATAGTCATCTGATCTATAGACCTTAATATACTTATATTTTTATCTTTTTATGAAGGATTCTATGAAATTTAATGATTTCAACATTTTCATGACGTGCAGTAGCAAATTTACGTTTACAAGATATTAAGGGTATTTTCGTTTTAGTATTAAATTTTTAGTCGGTATGAAGTCCAATGATCCGTACAAAAAAAATGATAAAGGATGCGAGCAGGTTTCAGTTTCAACAAAAAAAGACAGTAAGAAACAGAGAAGAGATTCAGATGACAAAAAGGAAAAAGAAAAGGTTTCCACTAATATAATTTTTTAATGTGATTCAATGTGATTAATGAAAAATTAGGGCCGTTATTATGCATATTCAGATATTTTGAACATTGTTTCTGTACTTTTATACTATTTGCTGTTTTCCTTTGAAATTCTGTAACATTCGAGGAGATTATGAAGTTGTATAGTTTGAATTATCAGATTGATGGAAATGTCTATCATTTTTCTTTATATCGGTGTCTTTAATTTCAAGAATGTTTCTGAAATTTCATTAAGGAATATTTTTACAGCGCCGGGACTCTGTAACAGGTTCACCATTAGATACAAGTTCATCTTCAAATAGTTCTTTGGAATCGGATGAGGTCGACATAACGGAGCAGAGGGAATCAAAAGATGCGTCTTCTTGTGTAGAACCAAAATCGCAAGAAAAAATGTTATATTTTTATCATTTTACAATATCTATAAATATAAAATCAGATTAAGTTTTGGGTATTTTTAAAATAATCTTCTCTGGGTGATTGTCGAGAAGATATCTTAATCTAACACAGATATTCATTTAGTTAAAGTTGATTCCTTTTATACACTGACTAAAAAATTGCAAAATGAAACTAGCCAAAATTGAGTTATTATAGAAATAATGTTCAATTATTTTTAATCTATTTAGAAAAAAATTACTTGTAGCAACATTGTAAATTTTTTGCTCACCAGCATTTTTTAAGTCGCCTTGATGATTCTATTTTGGAAGTTATAAAAAATATTTCTACACTTGTGAATATGGAAAAAAGTGAAAGATCCAAATCTGCTGCGGAATTAAACGAAACAGTTAATGAAAAAGTTGATGCGTGCAGTGGTTCAAAAACAGAGATTGGTTGGTTTTTATGAAAAGTTATGTGTTCTCAGATTCGATTATTTAAGACGTCATCAACTTTGCTTTTGTAAGTTTTCTGTTCTTTAAATTAGAATGTATTTTTTGTCAGATTCTAGCAACACGAAGAAATACAGGAAACGCAATCGGAAGCAAAAAAAAAAAGTAAGTTATTTTGAATCTAGGTATTTCAAATTTTCAAAAATTTTTATCGTGATTGGTGTAGAAAAATTGGTTGTATGTTTGCTCTGCTTTTCATTAAGAATGGTATCTGATGTGCTGGTCCTTTCAGTCAATTTGCGATTACAATGAAATAAGCTTTGTGATGTGTTAAGAAGTCAGTTACTGTCTCTTTGTATAATAAATCTAAGATTTTTCAGGATCTTGAAGATACTAATGTAGTCATAAATTCGGGATCAAAATCATGGTATGTTGATCCGATCTGTTCTACTAGTTTTGAAATTTGTTTCATATTATTGTTAGTTAATTTTATAAAGTCTGATTAGTGCTTATAAACTTTTCAGGACTACAAAAAAACCAGAAGTAATAGACATTGATGGAATTGAAGCATCCAATCTTTTAGATATGAAAGATATGAGTCAAAAGGTCAGTTCGTATTAAGGGTAAGATTTATGTTTTCTTGTGCAATTTTTCAAACCATAAAAACTCCTTGAGCGTTTTCATTCATATTTTAGTCGTTTTTTATTCATGTTCTAGCACTTTTTACTCAAGTTCATCAAATTTCAGTTTGCTCAACGTTTTCCTCCTTGGATTCAGAGTTTTTATTTGGCAGCTATAGAGGGTAAAGTAGAAGATTTTGTTAAAAAATTTCTTCTTGTTATCCAAATTTTAAAAAAAAGTAGCAGTTGCGAGCTTTATCGACAAATGTCTAGTCAACAGTTAAAAGAGCATGTAATGAATGTTAGTTTATTTTAATTTTTAATTAATAGTGAAATTGATATCAATAAAAAACTGAAATTACATAAGTATTCCTAAAATTGTTCTGATTTCAATTTTGAGTGTGAATTATAAACGGCAAATTTTACGAATTTAATTTTATTCCAAGAAAATACTGCTTCATTGAGCATTATTTTTCAAATTAAAATTCAAAATAATTAGCAAATAATTAAAATTCATTTGCGAAATTTGGATATTATGTTATGTGTTAAAATAGATTTGGATTCAACAAGGACGTATTTAAAGAAGGATAAATTTAAAATTTTGGGTTACTTTAATGTTACTCAAATGTTATTTTTACATATTAAAAACAGCAAAATGTTCAGAATATCATGTGTGTGTTTTTCAATGAATCAGAGAGCATATCGGTGCTTCATTATCTTGCTCCAACCATAAACATTGATCGGCCATGTAGAATGCAAAATCACGGTTACTGTAGGTGTGTTAATTTATTTTTCGTCCCATTTTTTATATATTCAGTTGAGTTATGTATTTTATGTTTATACTAGTGAATTTGTTAGGAACGTTCAATTTGCTATGCATGGATAACTTGTTAACTAATATCGGCTTATGTTTGTCTTAAAACGGAATCAATTTAAATATTATCAATATAGAAAAATTTTCAAAATCATAAACTTAATATTTTTTTTAACTTGATCTTTTTTTGGGTTTTAGTTTTTCAAAATTTTCAGGCTAATAAGAGTAATTCTAAGTACATTGTCATGGAAAAATCGTAAAGCTTTACTGTTTGCATCTACTAAAAGAACAGGAAAAACTGCTTTACATTTAGCTGCCGCAACGGGGCAATGTTGTCAGCTGTTAGCTTTAATGGATTTCGGTTTGTATGTTGGCTCTAATGCACTTTTTCTTTTCCTTTACAGGTATTAGGTTTTATTTGTACTAAATCATTAAATGAATTCAACCGTTTTTTTGCAAGGAATTTTTATGTCCTAATACAGTTTGACTTTGGAATATTATAAATCTCTGTTAAAATCCTCTTTCTAAATACAGTTTTTCAGTTTTTCAGGAGGTTGGGCTGATGTTTTTGATAGTTCTGGACGTGCACCACTACATTATGCCATCATGAGAAATAATTTGGAAATGGTATGTTTTTATATGTTGATTTTTTGGAGATTAAATTTAAAAAATAAATTCATTGAGTTCATGCGGCATCGCATTTATTTTCTTTTATCCAAAATTTTCAAGCCCTTCCTAAATAAAAGTAATCTTTAAAAAAGATTATATCATTATTAATTTGTTATTAGTTTATTCTAGGTAAAAAATTTATTATGGTATGGGGCAGACATATCGTTAAGAGAACGTTCATCAACGCCACTGCAACTGGCAGGATGTTCACCATTCACTATGACGGTTTATTTTATTGACTTGATATCGCATTACTATTCTTCCATATTCACCAAATTTAAACATTATAATTAAAGAATTACAAATAATATGTTGCAGGTATGTGAGTACTTACATGCACGAGGGAGTGCACTGCAAAAAATATTCATGCAGTGGGTCACTAAATATGTGCGAGGAGTGTGGACACCCGAGTTCGCTATTTCGGACTTACATTTTGTGAAATTGACAAAAGCGTGTGATGCAGAAAAAGATGCACATGAAGGCATCACTGCAAAATATGTAAGTTTTTGGCTACGAAGTGTCAGCTTTGTATTTTAATAATCTCAAGTTTTCTGATAAATTTTTTTTTCACAGTGGATCATACTTTTGTTACTGATATCATTTTTAACTTTGCTGTTTGTGATATGTATAAATATTTTCTAGCGCCAAGTATGTATTGACATCCTGGACACACGCGCAAATAATCCAAAACTAAAAAAGTATCCATTGATGGTGAGTTATTTCAATATTCATATTCTATCGTATCCTATTTTGCATGATTGCTTATTTGTTTAGCTTAAAAATAATTTTTCAGTTACTTTTCATTGTTCCAACATTTTACAAAAGAGATGATAGAACTACAGATGCTTCAAATCCACAGATATTTTGTGCGAAGTTGGAAGATGAAAGTAAAACGATAGTAAGGCTGCTTCCGATACGGCCTTTGTAAGTTTCAAAGCTAGTGATTGTTTTCAGTTAGGGTTGATTAATTTTTTAATATACATAACTGTAGTTTCTTGCTTAAAATTAATAACACACACAAGTCTTATCGGAGCTAAAAAATCGTTTTTGGTGTGAAATGACCTTCAGTGAACTTAATTACATTGTTATAGTTTCAGACTAAGTTGTTCTAAATGGCGCATGAGTATTAAATCAGCTTTTGAAAGACCTCACAATGGATTTTTTTATGTCTACAATTTACCACAAAATATTGAAATCGGTAAGTGTTACAAAGTTTGGTTCCTATGCAGAATAAAGAATAAAGTTCTGAAAGTGTTTACTACTTTCAGATTCATACACTTTACATTTTCTCGTTGATTTGGAGCAGTTGCGCTCAGATGCCCCTTATATTACGCTGGGAATACAAGCTTTTGCATGTGGTCCACCAACTTTGGCACATTATAATGACCTCCGAGGCCTCCCTACTCATTCAGTCAATAAAACAAAAGTAGATTAAGATTCTGTTTTAAAGTATTAGGTAATCTGTGACATGATTCATGTTATTAATAGCTCTTTAACTGTGACTCCGAGATTGAGATGATAGATTTTAGAAATTTTAAAGCTAGAGTGATATTGTCATAGGGAACATAATAAGAAGTTACCTGAAATTTAAAACCAGTGTATAGGAATGTATTTATTTAATTTTTTGCTTATCTAAACTGCAGAATTTATTTCAGAATTTTTTGTACGCATTTTTTTATTATCGAAAATATTGAATGACACTGTGGTTTTAAAATTCATTTCAAAAAATGTTATCTATATTCATTCCAGTCTTCTCTTTGCTTTTTGAACATATCATATAAATTTCATAAGTCGTCTGATTTCAGATATATTTTTATCTGGATCTGTTTTTTTTTCAGTTTCATGTCTAGCCTTTAAGAATATTTCTTGAACACTAGGATTTTTTGCTTCTCATCTATTCTTATTCTTTATTGTTTCAGTTATTTTCTTTCGCGAATTTTTCGAATCTGTTCGGTGTTTGTTTTGTTTTTTCCTTATTTTCGTCTTATTTTATTTCTTCTTGTGTTATATTCTGTTTAAATTATTAATCAGAGTTTGATTTAATTTTCTTTTCATTTTTGTTTCCCTGTTATTGTTTAGGACTATTCTTTCTTTGTCATAACAGAAAATTAACTACAAGTATTGTTCTCATTATTATACGATATGTTTTTTGAAGCTTCAACGAACACTTTTGTACGGGCATGCTTACTCAAGCTTTATTTTCAGTTTAAATTAAGAATTATCACTATTATTGTTTTTACATCATTTTTAACTTTTAGCAAAAACTGTTCAATATATACATGGTTGGTTCTTCATAAATAATGAATTATAAATACTATTGTAATATTAGCCTTGATTTCGCAAATAAAGCTGTTAACTTGGATGTTGTATGATACCCATTTGTATAGTTTTCTTGCTTATCATATTTTCGATATATATTTCAAGTTTTAAGAATGTAAAACAGCTTATCGATTCAAATTTTTTAACAGTTCTTGAATGAGACTGTGATGCAAGCTATCTTATCATTATTATTTTGTAATCAGTTTTTATGAATTGAAACTACTGGTCTTTATTTTTATATTTACTCAGATTCACTACATTCAGGAAGTACTAATTCTATAATTCCGGAGATTTATTGGTATTATAAGGCATAAATTTGCAGACTATACAGCAGACATTTAATTCTGGTACATAAGTTATCCTTAATTTGTATTGGTGGGATCTGTCCTTTTTTCTGCTTCTTTGTATGTTTTGTTTTTGTTTGAAAAGAGCATTATGCTTAAACATGAAGAATTTAAAGTTTGGAATAAATTATCTTTTGAGGATAGATTGTAATTGTATTCGTGCTTCAACTCCAAGATGTGTTGATATGAAATTATATACATAAGTATGCTATGTATTTATGTCTATGAAAATTCATTAAGAAGTTTTGCGAGCAGATTTCATCTAGATGGAATTTAGGTCCTTATTTTTGTTTGCATGCATATGTCTTGTTCCGATGATGTAAATTTTTGTGAAAATTTTGAAAATTATTTTAGTAAAGAATTTCAGTTGAGAAATTCATGATGCCAGCAGTTGACAGTAATGCGAAATCAGATCATAAAATTCATCGAGGTAATTTTACAGAAATTAATGAGCGTGGTGTACAAGTAAAATAGACATGATTTTTTGATAAGTATGGTATTGTTAGTTTATTTTGCTCAATATTTAAAGAGGTAGATCTTTACGAATTTCATAAAAATTTAGCGGGGCTGAAAGTAGTCTGAAAGTTGCTAATTAAATTTGTTGCAAATATATTCTGATTATATTAGTGAAATGTTTATGCTATATTGTATTTGGCTTTCTTCCTCAAAAATAGATTCGATATGGAATTAAAAATATTCGGAGATTACCGTTATGCGTCCAAAATTTAGTAAGTAGTAGTTTCTTTTGAGTTCCAAATTTTGCAAAATTGAAGTAAAAATTCGTTTGCAGTGCATAAAGTTGGTGGTAAAGTAAAGAAGAAAGGTGGTAAAAAGGGTACGGGTGTAAATGCAAAAGCTTTCACTTTCAAATCTGCTGTGAAAGCAGGCCGTGCTATTCGCAGGTATATTTTTATGATGATTGACTTTTTATGCTTATTTAGGGACGGAAAGCTACATATATGTGCTTCTACTTGTTTGCTTCAAAATACTGAAACATTAAAATTCTGTATTCAATTATTCCTTTTTTTGAAAGAATGTGTTGGTGGGATTACGAAAAGATTTTTGTTAAGGATCGCAGATAAAGATGAAAAAAAGAAACATATACCAGTTGTTGATCGCACTCCTGTTGAACCACCCCCGATCATCGTAGCTATTGTTGGTCCTTCTAAAGTCAGTTTCTATTTCAATCTTTTTTGATTTCTCTATGGACAGTTTTATCATTTTATTTTTTCAAATTTTTTTTGTTGAATTAATGTCTTAGTGTTTTTTTGTATACTTCAATACCTCACAAACCATTTTGCACCTTTTTCAAGGTTGGGAAGAGTACGTTGTTACGAGGTTTGGTAAAACACTATGTGCGGCAAACGTTAACGGAAATACGTGGACCAATTACCATTGTTACTGGTAAAACTCGTCGAGTAACATTCGTTGAAGTGAATAATGATTTGAATTCTATGATCGATATAGCAAAAGTTGCTGACTTGGTGTGTTATTTTCTACTTCAAAATTTAGATCGCATTTCTGTTTAATAGTTATACTGTTGGTGTAACAAGTTATGTTATTATTATTATTATGCATAATGCAATTAAAATTTTCACCCATAAATTTCATTTTCAATGGATAGAAATATTATGTTTAGGTTCTGTTAATGGTAGATGCTTCATATGGCTTTGAAATGGAAACATTTGAATTCTTAAATATATGTCAGGTGCATGGAATGCCTAGAATTATGGGTATTCTTAGTCATCTTGATGTGATTAAAAAAAAAGAGAAAGTAAAGCATGCCAAAAAATTACTGAAACATCGTTTTTGGACAGAAGTTTATCAGGTAATAATTCTCCAAATTTTTGGATTGTTTAAGGTCACTACAGTAAAATTTGAACAAAAAATGCATTGTAATTAGATTTAAGATATTCTCGCAAAAATTTTAATTCGAATATATTGGTACTCTTTGGCCAGTTGAGACAGTATGAACCTTGAAAATAGACAGATGTATCAGTTCAAAAGTTGTTGACTTTATAAAAAGGACTGGAATCAGTTCTTCAGTGCCAGCATTCTATGTATGTTTTACGGAACTGATATACTGAATTTTTTAAATTTAGTTTTGTCATGTCACTCACTTTGCTCAATGTTCAATTGTTTACTTATAATGGATAATATAAATTATTTTAAGGGTGCAAAACTCTTTTATTTGTCGGGGTTGATTAATGAGCAGTATCTAAAGAATGAAATTCGAAATCTTGCTCGTTTCATATCTGTCACAAAGTTTCGTCCATTAGTGTGGAGAAGCAGCCATCCATATGTTTATTGTGATCGTTACGAAGATTTGACTGATCCAGAGGTAAAGTTGTAACAAATCTTTGAGTTTTTTTTTTTTTAACGCTTCAATATAATCAGTTTTAATTATATGCTGATATGAATGCTGTCACTGTGATCATTTCATATATATGAAATCAAAAGTTTTGATTGAATAGAGCTTTTTTTTAAATGCACTCTTTTTAGAAATGTATTAATCCTTGCAGCAAATACGTGAAAAGCCATCGACGAATCGAACAATTTCTCTATACGGTTGGGTTCGTGGGACGTTTCTTAAAAATCACAGTCCAGTTCATATTCCTGGAGTGGGAGATTTAAGGATCAGAGACGTATGTTCGATTATTCGTAAAATATTTTTGACCTTTTAATTATATGCAAACGATTCTAGTCAGTTTTGGTAGTGATTTAAAAAAGCATTTAAATGATGTTTTAACTATAGTTTTCAAAAGTTTCATTGTTTGCAGATAACTGCCTTGCCAGACCCGTGTCCATTACCTTCAAAAGAAAAAATGAAACGTTCATTAAACGAAAGAGAGCGTGTTATATATGCTCCTTTCTCTGGTCTCGGTGGGATTGTCTATGATAAAGTAAATAATTTTATATTTCTTAGCAGATATTCAAATTAAGTTTATGTTTTGTATGTACTTGGGTATTTATCCGCCTTTTTACAAGCAATTGTGATAGTTTGTCCAAAAACTCTAGGAAATGCTTCTAAAACAGCAGATGATTAACTTCTTTATTCTTTTGTGTAAGCTAAATAAATATTCATTTGAAACTGTTTTGCTGTATTGAGCATAAGAATTTAAAGTATCAAAATACTTATCATTAAAAGTTCGTGGAGAAAACTAGGATGAAAAATTTAATTATATAAAATTAGTTTCTGACATTTCCTACTATTTTGCTTTTTTATAACAATGCGTCTTATCAATTTGTGCTGGTTAAATTCTTTAAATGTTTCAGGATGCAATCTATATCGAAACTGGTGGTTCACATTCTTTCAAGAAAGCGCGGCATGAACTTCTTGAAGTATTAGAAAAAGTTAAAGAAGGCATTGATGATAAGATGCACAAAGCACCATTTAAAGTGGTTGCTGATTCTCAGTTTACTATAGATGGGCAAAGTGAAAGCGAAATGAGCGATAATAGTAAGAATCTTTTTGATAATTGTTTCATGATAGTTTTTTGGTTTCAAATATAGCTCTATACGTTTAGTGTATAGCAGTAAAAAAGACATTAATTTCATATTAGTGTTTTGTTTATTTTCTTTGTAGGTGACGATGAAAACAAGGAAAAGGCTAGTAATTGCGAAGATTCTAGTAGATCCGAAGATGAATGTGATGAAAAACAGAGTGAAAGATCTGCCAAAAGTTGGCTTGGACTTTCGGATCGAGCAAATTTATTATACAACGACCAAAAATTATCTGAACGAATAAATTGGCAGAAAATCGTATATTCCGATTATGGTTTGTTTTGTAAAACAAATAATAAGTATAGTTTTGTTAAATGCTTCTATTCAATGAACCACAATAAGAATTGGTACCATCTACAGTTCCTACACTATTCTTATTTATAGTCAAGACGTAAAAATCGGTCATACTATTTTGGTCTAAATTTTTAGTTCCTGTGAAAAATCAGAATAAAGAAGAGCAGCAAGATGAACTCCTTGGTGATCTGTTCAGAGTTGTCTCCCTAAACAAGAAGGACATCGAGAGCGAAGTATGCATTTTATAGTTCTCAGTGAATGAGAAAAGCGAATTTGATTCCGATTTTTTAAAATTCTGCTCTCTTCGTGCTTTATTTTTACATTCAATAATACTAGAAATTTTTGATGAAAATTTGTAGTGTTTTTATTTGTCTATTAAATTTGTCTTTTTCAGGAAGATGATTTTTCGTATTTTAAACCATCAACAAGTACCAAACATGAACAGTTCTTGAAAGAACGCGATTGGGACGATTCAGAGGTATAATCCAATTTGAAATAAATATCTCGATTGCAAATACAGTGCTTGAAAACAATTGACAAAACTTCATCCTGATTTGAAATATTTTTCGATCCCTCATTTCAGATTCGTGAGTCGATTGCAGATTGTTTCGTGACGGGAAAATGGGATCCTGATGAAGATGCAGCTGCATTTGGAGATGGTTTTTCTTAATTCATAAGTTGAATTTGTATTGAAAATGCAGCATATTTACAGCATATTGTTGTTAATGGATCACAACCATCTTTAACTGTTTTTGTTTGTCAACAATTGTCAAGATGTTAATTTTACTATTTTCTTTCAGTAAAAGAAGTGGTTGATGGCGAAAGTGATTCTGACACAAATTCCGAAAGTAATGGTGCTTCGGATGAATCAGACTGTTACGTTTTTTCTGATATTCAAAGATTTTCTGAATTCTACTCCTAATTTTTGCTTTTGTTTTTGTTTTTGCAGTGGATGTCAAAGGTGCAGATAATGGTGAAGCTGAAGAAAGTGTGAATGATCCGACAGCAACAGTGGTAGAAAAAAAAGAGAAAAAAGAGGCTGAAAGAAGAAAACGTATGAAAGAAAAGCTAAAAAATCGGTTTAATGCTGAATATGATGAAACTAATCAACATTATTTGCAGTTAAAAGAAGAACTTGAAGAGCAGTCAAAAGTATGCTGTTTTGTGTTTAATTAGCTTTTTGTCTTTCTTTATCGGAGTTTCGTTGTCAGTTTTGTATAATTTAACCACGATCAAAATTTGTATTTCACTGCAGTTGAATCAGATTTCTTAAATGTTTTTAATTGATTCTTTCAGCTAAATAAATCAGTTTATGAAGGACTAGATGAAACTGTTCGGCAGCAGCTGGAAGGCTTCAGACCAGGTCTTTATGTTCGGATAGAATTTTCGGACGTTCCTGTCGAATTTATTCAGCATTTCGATCCTACCAAACCTTATATTATCGGTGGGCTTCTAACTGGAGAACAGAATATTGGTTGTGTACAGGTAGTTTTTCATTAATTCTTTTTTGCTACATTCATAGTTATATGCTATTACTTATGTATTTCGTTTTATTTTATTCTATAATTTTCGAAACATTTTTATCTCAGGTAAGAGTGAAAAAGCACAGATGGTATGAACGCTTGTTGAAATCTCGAGATCCTCTAATTATATCATGTGGCTGGAGACGTTTTCAGACTGTCGTTAGTGTTCTTTAACTGATTGTTATCTTAAAAACTTAAATTTTTTCGGCATCACGCAAGAATTTCAGAAATATTACTTTTAGTATTTGATATTTGCAACCATAATTTCAGTACAATTTTACATATATTTACCACTTGTTATATATTTGTATCGCTACTAGAAAAGCAATTTGTTAAGAATTACAAATTCTTTTAGGTAATATATTCAATGCAAGACCACAATATGAGACAACGTTTCCTGAAATATACTCCTGAGCATATGTTTTGCCAAGCAGTTTTTTGGGGACCGATTACTGTACAAAATACGGGTTTCCTTGCGGTGCAATCATTTGAAGATATGGTTCGTGATAAAGATTTATTTTATCCAAATCAGCTTTATTTCAATTTTATTCAAAACTAATAAAGATGTGACTTATTATGTATATACATAGGAAATAGCAACATTGTGTCAGTTAATTTTTTTATTTTCAGAAAAACTTTAGAATTGCTGCAACAGGTGTTGTTCTTAATTTGGATAAATCCTTTCAAGTGGTGAAGAAACTTAAACTCATTGGACATCCTTATCAGATATTTAAGAAGTCAGCTTTTATTAAGGTATTTACCTTTTTACTCATATTATTGGTGTGCACTGAATGCTTATAATATCTCTCAACGCAGTTTCGTAGTAATCATTGTAAACTAATCTTTCAGGGCATGTTCAACAGCATTCTAGAAGTTGTAAAGTTTGAAGGTGGCATCATACGAACAGTCAGTGGTATTCGTGGTAAAGTTAAAAAGGCATTACGTGAGCCTATAGGTGCTTTTAGGGCAGCATTTGAAGATAAAATTCTTATGAGTGACATCGTTTTTCTTCGAGCTTGGGTAATTGCCTTTATCATGCAGTGATTATAATTGTTTTCAGAGAAGTTGGTGTTTAATGTATATCATTTTTGAGATTGTTTCATGATAGATTCACAAAGCATTCTTGGCTTGCAGGTATCTGTCCCTGTACCTCATTTTTATACTCCGATAACTGATCATTTATTGCCGTCGGATCAAAAATGGGAAGGCATGCGAACAGTTGGTCGTTTACGTTATGAAATGGGCTTAAAGCCACCTCAAAAGAACGATTCCTTCTATAAAGTAATGAAGTTTTTGTTTTCTTAAAATTTTGATATCAATTGTGGTTCGTATAATGGAAGCTGGTAAATCATTTTTTTTCAACTTCTGCCTTTTTTAGCCCGTTGAAAGGCGACCTTTTGATCCTGCACCGTTACTTATTCCGAAGACTCTACAGAAACAACTTCCATATCGATTAAAGCCAAAAATTGCAGAAGCAATCAAAAGAAAAGATGATAAGCTCGTAAAGAAACATAGCACTGTAATATTGGAGCCACATGAAAGCAAAGTAAATTTTTGTTCTTTTTCTTGCTTGTTTTATGTGAAAAAGATTCTAAAACCCATGACTGTGAAGTTTACAATAGGGGAGTATTTTCAGGTACATCAGTTTATGCAGGTGCTCGATACAGTTCACGCGGAGAAAGTTAAAACTGATAAAATTGTTATGGACGAACGCGTGAAAAAGCATCGTGCTGTAAGTTTCTGTATGACGAAAGTAGATTCGAAATTGTAAAAATTTTCACAATATTTTTAAATCTACATAAAATTTAAAGTGTGACACTTTGTGCTTTTAGCTTGGAACATTTTTTTTTACGAGATGTGATTGGCATGCTTAATTTGTCATTTACTGAATGTGGGATATCAATCTTGAATCACGAAAAATGCATTTGTGCTGTTTTTTATTTTCATCTTAAAATATGAAAGTTTTAGATTGTATCCTTAAGCAGTTTTTTTGACCTGATTTTCATTTTTTTTCATTGTCAATTTGTAGGAAATGGCTGTATTAGAACAACAGCGACAGCGGGGAATTATGAAAACAAAAAAGAAAGTGTGCCGCGCACTCTCGAAGCGAGAACAAATGAGATTACGAAAAGCATTAGATTCGGTGAATGAAACTTAATAAATCTATTGTTACTTCTGAATTGTTTTGTATTTTCTGGTTTCATGTCGATATTGCTCGTTTGTTTTCATCTTCATTTGTTTGGTAATATTTTTGTTTTATTGTTGCTTGATTGTTAATAAAGTTGCGTTTAACTGTTTTGGATTTCGAAATTTTCTAAATTGGGCTGAAGTATACTTTATTTCTTGATAATACTTTTTCATTAGAATAGTACGTATGAATTGATTGGACTTTTAGTTTAAATGTATGTATAGTCGAAGGAAGTATTTTATGTTAGAAAAGTCGTAGATCATGGCATTAGTTGTAGGATTTGTAACTAGTCAATGATTGCAGTTTAGATGTTAATAATTGTTTCATATGTTTGGTCTGGGGCCATGGTTGTACAATTTCTCTCAAATCCAGCGCTCGGAGATTACGCTTGATAATTTAACTTCTGTTCCCTCTCCTTATACAGAACTTGCAATTTTTGGATTTTTCAAGGCAGCCGAGGTTTTGTCTTTTATTGGTAAGTCTGTTTAATGGTAGTCAATGATAAACGCTGTTATTTAAAAATAATGGGATCGGATATTGATGTCATTATTTTTGATGCCGGTCTCTGGTTGCATTCCTTCGAAAAAATTTTTTACACTGTTGTAAAAGTTATTAATGTTTAAGGTGGTTGCATTGTTCATCCGATATATCGTTTGTATCTCATAAAAAATATCACTCCTGAAACAGCTACAAACAATACTACTAAAATAATAAGAGAAACATGTAGAAAATTACAGGTAACATTTTAATTGTCCAAGTTCGAATGATATGAAAATAATTTTGCTCCATAAGAAATGTTCTACTCAAGAATATGCAATAGTTTCATGAAAATGCAGTAATGTCTATTTTATTTTATGTCGTGTTATTGTTTTTTTCTTAATTTAAGTTATTAAGTGAGTTCGGGATCTGGTTCTAGTAAATAATTATACTGCATTTTCATGAAATAATTATTTCATGAAGCATGTATTAATTACCATAAAAATAACCAAGAACAAAAAAATAATCTTCCAAAAAAAAACGAAACTAAGGGAAAAATTTTGCTTGAGATTAAAAGAAATCTGTTTTTGCTGAGCACATCATATACAAGAATGAAATAAAAAATTCATAAATCTTTCTCACTGTTTTCAAGAAAAGTTTTCGAATTTTAGTGAAGTCTATAAAAAACTTAAATAAAAATACATGAAAAATTTGAGTGAAACTCAGATGACTTCAGAATTTCTCTTGAAAATTTTATCGTATCAAGAGAAATACTTGAAAAGAGAAGACACATCTAGTGTTGGGTTGTTCTGTTGACAAGTTGTATATTTAAAAATGTTCAAACTAATTACAATTTTCAGAGCTATGTTTTTTAGGGTCGCTTTCTTTTAGCAAGTTTTCTGATTGGCCCACTTGGTTCATTGGCTTATGTGAATTATTATTCCATTAATGTGCGAGAAGCAAAAGAAGTTTGTTATCAAATTAGGTGCAACGAGAAAATGATGGTCTGGGTATGTTCATTTCTAATTAAGAGAATGCATAAAGATAATTTTTAGATCAGCTCAGATAATTACGAGATGTTCCAATTTTTTTCAAATTAAGATTCAAAAGACACTTTAACATCGGAATTTGAAAGTCTCGCTTCCTTCCAACACAGGTAGTCTGAGACTGTTTTTTTTTAAATATTCTTACTTGTGAAGGAGAATACAGTGGAGAGTTTTTTGATAATTCATATCAATGATTTGTTTACCTATGTTAAGGATCGCACTGCTGTTTCATTAGGACTCCTAGGATGGTACTGGAAACGTTTTAAAGGGGCTGTCGATGGTGTAAACATAGCTTCAGCATATGCTGCTTATTATTTCACGGTTTGTGCCTGACATGAATTGATAGTTGACTGTTTCGCATTGAGATTATTTTTAAATTTGTTGCATTGAATTTGTATTATTACGAGCTTTCTGCAGAAAAACGAAGTTTGATTCACCCTAACACAGTTACCACTACTGAGATTATAGTATTATCTTTGAGAAAGATTTTTGTATTGAAAACTCATTAATTTTTTGCATTTTCTACAAATTGATTTTATTATATTCTGAATTGGAATTTAAATGAACCAGAATTATCTTTGAGATACAAAAACCACTGATGAAAGCAGGACCATCAGATAAACTTCAAAGAGGGAAACTCCCAAAAAGTATTCAAGAAATGGAAGAATCGAGAAGGGCACTACCGTTTTTGGCTGAAATGCCAGCTGATAGTTCTTCCATAGTGGATTTAGGAATATCAAGAAAATCTTAAAAAACAATTAGGCTCATTAAAATATGTTGTGATAATATGAAGAACGGAGACAAATTTCCTCATGTTGTGTATGAATGTAAAGCATAAACTAATGTAATGTAGAAAAAAATTTTCATCTATCGAAATACTGAATAGAAAATGAGCAAATATATATGCATTTACTCCTGCACTATTTATATATTTATGTTCATTTGAAAACGTTATCACATAATCAGAATGAAAGATCTTTTTTTCTACGAAAACTATACACGGACAATGAATTGATTTTTGTAAATATTTTATTAAGTATTCGCACAAAAGCAATTCTTATACTGAAAACAATAAAGAAATGTTCATTTCGATATCATTGTTTCAAAAACTTGAATAAATTCCAAAATGGTAAACTGTAATAATGATGATGATCATGATGATGATGGTGACGATGCTTTCTGTGGTAGGAATGATTGCTTCTATGTTGTCTCTTTCTATTTCTGCAAAATTTCAATTCAGTATGTATCTTTTCCATTGTTATTGCTTGATTAAAAATAAATAATTGCAAGATACAAAATTTAGCGGAAGTTATACAATAATCGAATCTCAGTACCACAAACGGATTAATTTATTTTAAAATTATTCGAGATAGTTGACAAGTTCCATAATTATTATCTTAAGAAACAGAATGTGAAAAAAATTTTTTCAGTTATTACATTGTAATGTGCGTGATTATAAATAATACATGACATGCGTTTAGCATTATTCTGTCAACATTGAATTTTTGTGAAAAATTTATGAGCTAATTTCCTCTCAAATTTCAGCTCATAAATTATTAAAGTATTTGTTCATTTTAATTAATTCATACAAAGTTGAAGTAACTTTGTTTTATTAATTTTTGGAAAAATAATCGTTCGATTTAAATACGCAGCAAAAGGAAGCATCGCAAAAAGTGGGCTTGAATTTTGAATTCATACATTTTGCAGTGGTAATTATTCATTAATACAGTGTTATTTATACAGTAATTGTATGCGATGCAATTTCCCATAATCAAATTATTTTCGATATTTTTATATGGTAAAGACGTCGTCATTGCATTGTTTTAAAAATAAGTTACTAAAAACTTACAGATAATTATGCAGACGTCCTCGATCGCCACCATTTTTTGTAGACATTATTACGAGTTCATCTTGAGGCCAATCTCTATTTTCGCCAAACACTAAGCAAATATCCACCAAAAACAATAATATCGATATCAGTAATCCCACCAACATTTCCCTGTCTGAACTATCGAAAAGTTAATTGTTGATATTCAAATTTTTGCATTCACAATGAATAAAATAAATTTGAGTCAAAGAAATTCAAATTTTAACACTGTGTTTTATCCTCCTTCTTTTTGTAATTAGTACTGAATATTAGGAAACAAATAGACTATACTGCTTATCGAACTTAAACATTGCAGTAATATATTCAAATATATTCCTCGTTAGAATCGGAACAAACTTCAGTAACTAGCAAAAAAAGCATTCATCATTTTTTGCGCCTTTTCATTGCTGTAAAAGTTCGATGGTAAAGTATTTTATAATACATTTAGATTTTCCGTAATGGAAACAGCAATTCAAATATTCTGCAACATACGTAGTGTTGAAGCTTGAATTCTGCCTATCAGAGAAGAAAAAATTCTACTACACTAAGACAATAATGCTACAACAGTTTATGTCAAAGATTTTACTGATTACTATCTGATCACTTCAGTTGTTAATAATAATTATAATAAGCATATCTGATCACTTCGAACATGTTGCAGGATAATCCAAGCTTCTCATGTTTCCCATTTGCATAAAACAAGTTCTCGGTTTGCATGGAATAATTTTTATAATCTTTCCAAGATTTTCTTATGCCAAAAACAAGTTCTAAGTGATTTGGCAAGCTTATTACATTTTTCCCATCTTTCGCGCACCTCTATCGACTTTTCGTATTTAATTAACTCAAAATCGACATTGATTAATTATTACTAAGTGCATTGGTTGCTACTGCTATTTACAAAAGTTAAATCCCTATATAATGCTTTTAAACTTCCATTAAAAGATTTTAAGTGATTTTGCATGATTCTGGATTATCCAAATTCTAATTTAATAGATAGCAACGAGCTTTCCTTCCAAGAATCAAATATATTATTTGCTACGGCTGAAAAGGGCAGTTGGATTTCCATGAACACTTCTCCAGCTAATCCTAAGAATATTTGAAACCAAAAATCCAAAATCCAGTGCTGTAAGAAGAGGGACGTATCAAATTTAAAATGCAGTATGTATTCTTGATTTAATTCAATTCCGTTAAAACATTTATGCAAAATACAATACTTCTATCAAAATCTGATCAAAAAAAAAGAACAAATTATTTCTCTATCAAGTGAAACAAATGCACGTGAAAAAGCAGAATACATCACAGATATCTGCACACTAACGACCCTTCTTTACAAGATAGTATTTAGTATTTACTTTGTAAATAATGTATATCCTCAAGATATATGGAATCCTATGGTTATAAATAAAAACTGATGAATAAAGCTGTAAGTTATACACATAATTCCTTTACAAATAAAAGTATCTAAATTAGAAGAGCTAGTCACATGTATACACTTAGTAACTCTTTCAATAGACAAGTATTTAAAACCTTCAATTTTCTAAAGCTAAACATTAAGCTTTAGTTTAGCCTAAGCAAGACCAAATGTAATAAATTTTTAAAAATAAAAGCAGAGGAAACAACAAATGTTAAGATGAAGTTAGGCACACTTTCCATTCTATGGTCACATAAGCCGAAAATACACAAGTGATACAATATGAAATTACAAGTAAAACCCGAAATTTTAGATTTTCACCTCAGTCCTTCGTAATACGACAATATACAGATTTTTAGGTATGTTTACAAAGACAAAGAAACGAGCGCAGAACAAAATTTTTAATGAATTGTAGTGCTTCACCATTAAAGAGGTAGAGATACAAGGCAAAATTTAAAATTTTGACTTTACAAGAAGAACTGTTTGTAAAATGAAATCACCTTCTGGACAGAATTAATCCAAATCCTATCTGCAAGTCATATAAATAAAATAAAAGATCAGTTTCACATAAAATCAGACACTCACGATTCTCGAAACAACAATTACAAATGCTTATTTGAATTACAGTAAAAGAAACTAAAACATCTCAATACAGTGTAACAATATAAATACAAAATTTATAACGAATCGTAAAGTAGTGAGACCATAGAGAAATATAATACTATTTTTATCATTACCTAATCAATTATATTTCTTTTTCCATGATAAATCTGAATCAGGTCTATTACTAGCAGTAGCATCATCCATAAATGGATTCCTTGGTCGTCTTGGCGCCGATGAAGAATGGTAAATTTTCGGAGATCGTGCTGTGATCGACGATGAGATCGAGAAAGAATGACCAAGACATCGACGTTGAGGAGACTTAAATGATGATTGCTCCATAATTTGTGATACATCTGAAATTAATTGCTAGAATTATGAAATTTTCGAAATCTGTGCAATAAAAAATACTTCAAAACTAGATCAACCTCATAACATACCCAGAACGGAAATATCTTTAAAAACTTATTCATATCTAAATTTATTGAGTTCAGATACGAAAATTTACTCAAAAATTTGAAACCCTAGTAGATCATTGATTTTAAAGAAGTTTTAGACTCAAATCTCAAAACTTGCACGGGCTAAAATGCAAATAAGTGAATACATTACTTTCAGATTCAAATTACTGTCAGAAAAATTCAAAGGCTAATTGCTACTGCTATTTGTAATACTTAAATTTTTACTTCTTATTATTCTAAATCGATACAAACGAACCGTGGGATGGTCATATCTTGCACGTAAAACATTATCTTAATTTATTTGTGTTGCTTTGTAATGTCCAGGATGCCAAAGTTATTAAAATGAATAAATTCAGTGAAGGATAATACGATGAGAAAATCATAAAACATACGTCGAGACATTTAGCAATAATATTCACATCTGATGACAAAAAATTTATTACAATTTCATTATGAGATAAAAAATTTGAAAAATAGTCTAATTAAACAATTTTTAGTAGTACTTGTATCTTATGTCAATAAATACAGACTAATGAAATACTGTAAATCTAAGAAGTCAAGATTAGAGTAATAGAGAATCCATAGAAAATGCTATACTTCATATGGTATTTAGACAGTTAGGAAATGGTTACATTGAAACACATTATTTAATTCTTTAAAAGATTACTGTCTTGTAAACACTGTGTAGCATAAAAAGCAAAAAAATAAAAACAGGATGTATGCAAAAAAAATTCAAGATTTTCTTCATATTATGCGCCTTGTTTCTGGTATAATATTTAAACTCGTCGAATGTGATATTCTTGATGGATCCGCATATTCCAAATTATTTGGATGCAAAAATTTTGAACCTGATTCTTGAACAGTTTTTCTGCATTCTTCTCCTCCCATAAATTTAACCACCGATGAAAACGTCTCGCTTTTCAAGTCCTTCGAAGTTACACCCGACAAACCTCGATTACAAAGACTCACCGCAAGCTTTCCAAGAGATTTATTAAGTCTTGCTTGAGAAAGCCGAGTACTTCGCATTTCTCCACTTATACGACGAGGTGTTCGTGGAGTATTTTGCTTTTGCATAATCTTTACATATTTGCTGCGCGTTGAGGGACGAAAACTCTTGGAGAACGAATCCATGCGAGCGGATACCGCTAATGCTGCAATCTCTATGTGTAATGAAATCATGTTATTTTATCAAAAAGTAAATAGACAATTTACTCAAATGAAGCTGACAAGTTATGCAACTAAATTTTTAGCATTAACATTTAAAAACTTGCACTATAATAAAATATGGTTACAATATTCAACAACACCACAATTGTCAAATCAAGAGGACTTACCAAATAGAATAAATGAAATGCCGGAAGACTAAAGCGATCCATACATAAATAATATATAAATGCATTAAGAAAGTGATATAGAAAAGGTCATAAAAAATTGTGAGTACGCTTCACAAAATATTGCAGTCAGATATCAAACTTTAATCCATAACAAAGCGAATAACAATCACACAAGGAATGTACTTCAGACATCCTGTACGTGAACGTGTTCCTGATTAAGTGAAAGTTTGAAAAAAACTAGTGAGTGCATATTTTGACGCAGATATCTACCCTTAACCTTTGTGCTCAAAAACAAATTATTTGATATATAGTTAAATGCAAATATCTTTTCGCAACACGAGTCTATAAACAAATTTGTTTGCAGATATTTAAATGCAGATGCTTTGGTCTCATTCGCATACTCTTATGAAATTTCCCTTTTACATAATACATATCCTTACCTTCAAATTTTTTAGCTTGTCTGGTAACAATCTCTCGAGCACGAGGAGAAACATTTTTTCGTGTGACTGACTGCAGGCCATGCGAAGCAGGAGGAGCAGATGGCTTTTTGAAAGATGTGTCTTCTGATTTTTGCGTTTGATGCGCTGCTCTAGAGTTCTGAAATAAAACACTCAAATTAAACTAAAATTATTTTTGCATAATTTTCTAAATTGTAAGCAAGTAGTCACTATTTTACCTGTTCTAGAATAGCTCCTTGAATTTCCAATCGTGCGAAGTGATGAACACGTTGTCTTACCATACCACGATTATTAGATTTTATCGATAGAACACTTGGACGTGACCCAGGTGGTATGTAAGCAGGACCCGCAACTATATCCTAAAATCTTAACTCTTTACAGCTATAAAAACTTTAAAGTGGTAACAATGAATGCTGCTTAAAGTACTACATAAAACATGATAAATTATAATTTATTATAATATCCATCTCCAAATGAAAAACATGCCAAAAAAATTTACATCTTCACTTCTTGCGTTTAAGAGTTGCATTTTGATCGCATTAGAGTTAGAAAAATCCTCTCCACAATTAACGAATCGATTTTCCTCAAGAAAATTTTGATTAAAAAAATTAAAGCAAAAAATGTAAGATATTAAAAAAAATAAACAAAGTACCGTCAAGCCAAAAGAATTAACTACATGATATTTTTGTGGATGTCAAAAATTACACTCCTTGTTTTAGTACTTTGAGATATACGATAAACCACTTATAATTTTCATTCCCCAAAATTCAAAATTCTCAAATTTGAATTAATAAATTCTGATTTAATCATTTTACGATAATGTTGGTAGCAATTACTTCAGAACTTGACATCACTATTGTAATAAATCTTACTTAATCAGAAATTTAATGATGAATTTAAGCACATCACGTTCCTTATATAAATTGTTCTCTAAAAATTCTTCCCGGTTAACAGTTCTTTTTTTAAACAAAATACCTTCGATGCAAAAAAAAAAGAAATTTTTAAAAAATAACTTCTGTGGTAAACTTACTGGACCCTTGCTTTTACTGCAATACGTTAAATCAGTAATTCCGTGTTTTACTGCCGGTTTGCATGTTGCTGAATGCAATTTCTTATCGCAAATTTCTGTAGTTAGAGTAGGTTGTGGAGATTTTACAAATACAGTTGTTGACTGACCACCAGCATCCATAAGCGGTAAATACATAACAGGTTTAGAGATATCTACGGCGTCTGGTGAAGAAAACTCGTTTGAAATCCTCTTTGATGCAAAAAGAAGTGCTGTTTGAGAAGAATTTTCGTTTTTAGGTGGAGAAACAGCAGGTGGCGTTGGAGGCACATCTGTAAAAACCATAAAAAATTTTTGTTTTCAAAATTATTTATTTGTTTTCATTTTAATAGCATCTTATTTGCGGTCTTAGCTGCATAATTTTTTGATAAAAGCGATAAATCTAGAATAAGAATTTGAAATTAAGAAAACTTTCTTGTGCATAGTGAAAAATAACCTTCTGATGAAACGCCTTTCAAGTCGTGATTCTTGCCAATTATATCTGAAAAAGATAGTCGAGAGCTCCTTCCATCTCTTAACAATTCACATGCAACTTCACAATTTTTTTCAAGGCGATTTATTTCGTTCGTTACATCATCCAAAAGTGATAACATCGGCATTTCTTGCGGAGTATTTTGAGCTTCTCGTGAAGCACTCGCTTCTTTTCGTCGTTTCTGCCGTTTTGCTCGACGTTTTCGGGATTCCATACATTTATAAAAACAAAATACATTATCATGATGATGGTTAAAAACTGAATAAATTACTTCCTAGTCAAATTGATAAAAAATATTTAACAAGCAATGCAATCTACCTGCTCCAGCAATGTTTCCGCATTTAGAGTCTGAGTTTCTGACGAATTATTTTCCTCATCACTGACAGAAAATTTGTCGCATGAGTCTTTACCCAAACTCTCACTACGACGCTTTTTGTGATCCAAAACTTAAACAATCAACACCAGTAATACTAATTTGAGCATAGAAATATATAATATAATTTTAAAAAATTAAAAAAAAATTACTTGGTAATGAATCCACCGTTCCATTTGGCTTGAAACTCAACGTCGTTGAACGCCTCTCTAAAACTCTTACTTGTTAAAACTAATAAAAAGTATGGTTTCAATTGGAATATTAGAAACTTTAAAAGTAAAATAATTGTTCAAGGTATTATAAACAACAACCTCTCAAATGATACTGAGGAGCTTTCAAACCCATAGCCACAGTGTTTGGTTGATTGCGCTTCAAAAGTGTACTAGCTTTTACTGGAGCAGTATGACGACGACGAATGCGATCACTGGTTTTATCAGCTGAATAACCTTCTAAGAATGAGTGGGAAGAGTCAGCAATCTAAAATACCCTTCTAAATTAATAAAACGAAAACTTCATTAACTAACTGACACAAAACTTCATAATTTTCTGAATAATTTGAATGATTTTAATAGTTCCTTGTTAAAAAATCAGTAACATAATATCTTACTTTGACTGTTTGCAGTAACTTTTTAGAGGTATTTCTTTTAACGATTCTTGATACTAGTTTATCAGCTGCCTCTTTCCGTTCTAAAAATGCTTCGCCAATACGCTTACTGAAATAAAAAATAGTATTGTTTTTTGTTTATTTCATGAATACTTATAGAAAAAACATTTCAGATATATTGTATAATAAAGATAAAATATGAAACTCAGTGAAATTTATAATTAATTTTTGAAAATTTCTATTACTCACGTGCTCATTTCTACGGGTTCAAAAGCTGGTGAAGCAGGCATTATATTTGCATCCTTTAATTCTTTAATGATTTTATGTTTCTCTATTGTTCTGCTCCGCGAATTGGCTGTATTAAATTTACGAGGAGACTCCCGACGTGAACGATGCTTTGAAGATGTAGTTGAATTTACTGAATCACCCTTTCTCGTAGTTGGCGAACGAGCACTGATGATTAATTTATTTGTGAACATTTCATAATTATTTTAAAATAAAGAAAGTTATGAGCAAGTCCCTGAACCGCTCAAATGTAATATAAAAATTGTAAACTAACTTTTGTGGAGATACATCAACTAGTGTAGGTGATACCCTATGATGTTTGTTGCCGAGATTATTATTTGTCAGTAGCTCTTCGTTTCCGAATCTTATTTTGGGACTCGCAGTCTTCTGTTGAGATGCATCAGAAATATCATGGCCATTAGAAGGAGATTTAGGCATTTTAGTGTTTAAACGGGCTAGAAAATAAAAAGGTATATAAATTTCAAAAAGTTTTTAATCTAAAACTTCAATTTTGCTATCAAAAATCTAATGAACTTGACTTAGTTTTACTTTCAACTTTTGAAAACAAAAGCATTTCCAGCACGGCTTAAAAAAAAGGATTTAACTCACTTAAATTTTCTCTCATGGCTTCATCATCCGTCAGATCACCTGCAGAGCAACGTCGTCTAACTGGTGCAACTGGAGATAATCCTCGACGCAAAACTCTATTTGATATATTGGAGAAAAAATCACGGACAGTAGACGATGAACGTCGTTCCCGAGCTGTTTTGTACTAAATTAAGATAATTTGATTAAAAAATAAAGATTGGAGCTACAAAAACAAATTTTATCAATGCAATTTAAAATATAGGGATGGTAAAGAAGTAATTACTTTGTAAAGTTCATTAAGCTTTCCAGAAGGCTGTTTTTCTATTGCTATTTCTTTTCTTGTCGCAGGTTTTACTTTAACTGCTGAAGAAGCTGCTGTTCTAAAATGAGTCGAAAATTATACGCGGACTACGCTTCTCTAAAAAATTTATTTTGAACTGCTCAAGTATGCAAGAGCAAAATTTGTGCACTGCAGTAACGAAAAAAAGAAAATTTATACCTGGATGATGGCTTGGCAGAGACACTACGTATACCAGTCCCTCCCATAAATCTACCTTTAAAAATTTTTTGAGAAACGTCTGAAGGGCGGCGTGATGCAAGATAATAATCACGTGGCACTCCAATTTTATGTGCGTTATCAATCAGATCAGTGATGATCGAAATACGGAGTTCATTTTCATTCCTTATATTTGAGATCAAATCTTCCTGCAAATTTAAAAGTCCAACGGTATCAAGGAGAAAATTCACCATTGCAAGTTCTATCAGTTACAAATTAAATCAAGTTAAATATCTTCAGTCAACTGTAATATGAGAAGCAATTGCCAGAAAGTGAAAATAAGTAGAATGAAATTACACATAAATTAAATGTACTTTTGACTCTCTTTTCCGTTTAATATGTGATGACGGATCGTCTCGAAACAAAGATGGAGCAAATACACAGGCAATATTTTCAATGGTCATTTGATGACTCTCATGTCGGTCTCCAAACTAAAATCGTAAAATGCAAAAAAAAAATATTTTTACTTTAAATGATTAACAAAACTCAGTATTTTTTGTGACCAGTAAAAGCCTTATACAACTGAACTTATTTACTATACAATTAAAAAAAAGCGGACAAGTCGAATTTGCTGTTCATTTTTTTTAAAAAAATTTGTTCAAATAGTCAAAATTTTTAATATTATCAAAACTTCAAACCAAAATCCAGTATTTAGGATTTTCCATTCCGTTTACAATACGAAATGAACTAACATATTTCAATTGACGCATAAGGAAAGTCAATGTTGCGAGATGTTCAGCAGGTAACATACGTACTGCTTCTAGAATTTTGGTGATACGCTGCTCACCATCAAAAAGACATGCGACCTACAGAGGCTTCTACCGTGATATATTAAGTTAAATTTTTTATTTTCACGTGCGCGCGTGATGACTGTTAATAATGTATTACATTTTCATGAATCAACATTTACTTTTACTTTCAAAAAATTTTGCAACATTTCATTAATTAAACTTACATCTAACAACTGTCTTTGCATCTGAGCAAAAAGAGGCACTTTTAGTTCTCGGAAAAACCGTTTAATAAGTGAACAGACATCATGTGTTGTGCAATCTTTTGGTAGCACTACGCTTCCAAAAAATGTCTGTATCTAAAAATTATTAAGTCACAGCGGTAAAAAAAATATCCATATTACAATGGGTGGTTGGTAAAATACTCTCAAAAAGTACGTAATAATCAGTACAGTAATAAGATATACCGAAAAAGACCTAAGTCGCCCAATATTCCCTTCCTTTCGAAAAATTCCACTAGCGTTAAGACCATTCAGACGTAAGAAATTAAATGCATCAACAAGAAAACTGAAAGTAAAATACAGCATGTATTGAAAATGAAACATAAAAAGATAGGTCGGATTTCATGATACATCTTGAAAATAAAAAAGTATATACATATGTACATACACAGGTACTCCACGTAAAGTGAAAGTGCTGAATCCCCGGCGATCCCCCACATCTAACTCCATGGTATAGCTCGCTACATTTTCCAACCTAGAACATATACAATGGAAACCAACAGAACTTTTTAAAGCACTCAAAGACACAATCAGAAACAATATTATTGCCGGTTTAACATATTCAACTGCATGAACTCAAAATTAATATTGCTAGAACTAAACAAACGTGAACTGCAGTGTGCCCATAGTAGTGAGTGACGTATTAGCTTGGCGATATAATCGCATGCTTCGCAAACCATCCAAATACTTGTCCATAATGATAGTAAAATATTATAACGAGTTACAACTTGTACAAGGCCAGGCTGCTAGCAATTTCTTTGCAGTTGCCAGGCAAAGTCTTGTTTGATGACGTTTTCTAAAAGTAGAAATAAACTATCATGATTAATTTCTGAAAATTTAAATATTTTCCCACGAATCGAAGTAAGAATACTTGAAAAGATAATTAGTCTGATATGCATGAACATATGGACTTTATCTTTCCTGTGAAGTGTAAACTTGATAAAAATTATTTTTTTAGAAAGAAGTCAAATATAAGATTTTTGATGGAGTTTTAAGAAACAAAAAAAGTAATAATGGATATTTTCAACATTGAATGAAAGCTATTACAAGGAAACCGTACATAACATGCGTAGTAGCACAAATATATTGCCATAAATGTTCATTTCACAAATATGAAGAATGAGTACAAAGTAACGTTATTATCTTGTATTCGCATACAGCAATTTTACAGAAGTCAAAAATATTAATTTTTTTTGTCAAGTTTTTTTGCAAAAATAATATTATGCTGAATCGATTCACAAAAAAGGTCACTTAAATCTTCAACAATAAGTTTAATTGATGGCAATAAAAAATTGATTAACTTTGTTAGTGTAAGTTTAACTTATTAGAAAGCTATCATTAAATAGTACTAACAGTAAATATCTTTTATAATATACGGCAATGACTAAAGAAATATAAAACTGATATGTAACACTCTTGAATAATCAGCTAATTAGTTTATATTGTTAAGCTGTATCCAACCTTCTTGAATAAACAAACTTAAAATTACATCAGTTATTAAATACTTGCGAATAATAGAAGCCTTGAGGTAATAAACGTATTACTTTGTTACATTCCTTTTTCTGTTCCAATTGATTACCATTTTCAGAAAAAAAAAATCCATCCATTTTCTACAAATATTTTTATCCTTTGAAATAAAAATTCCCTGAAAGTTTCATAATTAAGGAAAGTTCAACTGAACTTATAAATAACATAAACTCGTAAATAACAAGTAAATATGATTCCTAGCTTCTTTCATGCACAAACAAACAATAACTCAGATAAAAATTGAGAATTTGTCTTTACGTGTTACAGAAGGAAGTTAATGTGAAAAATAAATTAGCTGTAATAAATTTTGGAAAAAAAAAATGCAAAAGTCAGAAAAAAACAGAAATGTGCAAATTTTGCAGCAAATATAAAAAACAAAAAAATGAAGAAAAATAAAAAATAATAATAAAATAGACAATCATAAAAATTATAAAATATGTAATAAAGATTTTTAGCAAAAAAAAGAAAAAAAAATACGCTGTAAATTATGAAAAATGAGAAGCGTAAATGTCCAAATTCTTTTTCAATCATCGTCCATTGAAACGTAAACAGACAAATAAATAAGTTTGCATCGATCTTTTCCTCTCCTTCTCTACTTTTTGTCCATTTCTAAAATAATGAAGTCAAAAGCTGCTTTTTGCCAGTTTGTTGTCTCATAAAGAACACATCAATTCAACAAAGAACGCACAAGCAATGAACAAAGATTGAATATTTTATGCAATGAATCATACTAATGTTACATTGGTACAAATTTTTAAAAAAATAAAAGAATTCCACGTGTGATTCAGAAATAACACGTCAGAAGGAAAAAAAAATGCTATTTCATGAATATAAAAAGAGAAAGATCACATGAAAAACTATGTCTCGTCATCAATATGAAATGGTTTAGTCACGTTCAGGCGAAAATTTCCACATAAAATTCAATTTCTAATCATGCTTCAAATTTACGAATAAAACATTGCATGAGAAATTACAAAAATTATGTTACAGTAGAAGTCCAATACGAACTGTTTAATCAAGTATAAACTTCAGATCACGACTATATTATATTGCAATGTATATATGTTGAAAAGTCGATAAACGTCTTATCACATCAGATATTTAACATCAAGTGAATACGCAATGTTATTTCTGATTTCTCCTCAACAGCGCTTAATTTACTTTTGACAAAATATTAAAAAAAATTATAGGACTAAATATTCAAAAAATTTAGGTAAAGTGAACTTTTATTTGTATAAGACAGTAATAATATAGTGTATACGATGATAATAATATACATTCAGTCTATACTGACTCAGGTATCACTACTGATATACAACATTAACCATATATTCGTTTACACAGCATTTCTAGCATATGATACTGACTTCATTCTCGTTTATGCAATATTTTAGTATCGCCCAAGTATGTATGCTTCACATACAAATGAGATCCAACTTCATATATTTATCAAATTCAGATATACAACAATACACCTAAAAATGCCACCTTCACATCATTTTTTCTGCTAGCTAAAATAAACAAAAAATGATATTCTTCACGTCCTATTCACTTTTTCCTTTCATGTTCTACTACACTACATCATTCTCATATTAACCATATGTTAGCATTTCCGGAAATAATCCAAGGAGTGAAAATTATCATCAGAATTTCGTCTTCCGTAAAAACTCATCGATAAACAACACAAACACACCACTCGCATAACATTTGAAAAAAAATTCGAAAATCCCGCTAAGAGTAGTCTTGAACATCTTTCAAACATTGCAGCTTAATATTCCAACTCAAGCTGTCACACCCTGTCACGTCACGTATGGGAAATTTTACGATGCTATTATGATTAGTTTTAATATTTAATCGTTTCAACTAAATAATAATATTGTGAATAATCTTACAAATTTTCCTCAATACCTTCAAATCAATTACATTTGAAGCTTTTTGACTAATTTCTATCCTACTTCATTTAAAAATCTTACACTACGTGGAATTCTGCAACGATCATGCAAATATATAAACAATTGAGTTTTGATCATTCTTTTGGACTACTTCCAAGCGTCACAATTATAATCAAATATATAAAAAGATCTAATAAGCTGTGTAAAATTCGATTTATTTGCGAAAAAAAAAAAAACGTCACTGCTATGAAATCAACTAAAGTGAGTGTTATAAATAGCTAATAAGTATGCTCCGAGAATTGCTAACATACATATTAATTATTAATAAAAATTTCGTCCCTTTTTATTTTTATTAAAAGAAGTGGAAAAGCATGATTTTATTTTTGTCGGTTTCTTATGCCATAA